ATCGCAAGAGTCGGCATAGAAATAGGAGAACTCACTCTCCCAGTCGATTTGCGGCATAGAAAATGAAGGTTGTCGTCCCAAGATACTTCCCCTGGTTACCTGGAACAGTAACTAGAATATGCCTTACAATGCTCATTTGGTGCGCATCCTTGTCCTCGACTGTCACAGTCCCCACTGATGACACTTTCCTGGCATATGAATAACTCAAAGCACTCATACAACATAAATGCCTTTGGTGCTAGTATCACAACTATCTAGTACCCCTCAGGGTCTTCCTCTAATCTTTGAAATCAAAAGCTCACTCACCCTTCCTTCCAAAACGAAAAGCGGGAATAACATAATCCTTGTCATATAAATTTCCATCACAATCCATCAGCCAACCACTCAACCCAGACCGCAATCCTCCATAACGTATCATCTCCACTTTTTCTTTGAGTCTTGCGACTCTAACTGGCACCTCACCAGTCAAACCCCTCAGGATCTACACTCAATTTTTCCTCGCAAGGTATACTCCATTGAAGCTCAACCGACATGGCCCTCTAGCCTCACAATCTACAATATCCACTCTCAGTCTGAACAACCACAACCGACTAACCGGTAAATATGGTAACATAATTTGTTACGAATCACGGTACTCGAACCATGTTATCTCCCCTCAACTTGCCACTTAGAACCTCCGAAATTCTCCTTGTTTCGAGTATGGGTCCTCTTTTTTCAATAGTACGGGCCCAATACTACCTTCCACATATACCCATACTTTCCACAAAGATCGTCCCAGATTTCCTAAGTAGCGGCTCGACCTTCCCGATATACCAATTCCATTCCACATGCTCGCTCCCCAATGAATACTCACCTCTAAGAAGCGCACTCCTCGGACTGCAATTACTCCCTAGGCTCTAATAGGTTCCCACACCTCTCTGCCATCAGCTACTGAGGAACTCCTCGCAATATCCATTAGCTTTTTAGCTAACTCGCATTGCACATGAGTTCCACAAAGCACAAAGCAAGCAGCATTCAGACATCGAGCAACCTCCACCAGCTCATGAAACCACTCTAGCATACAACTTCAATCGATGTATTCACAGCACAAAAGGCATCACCGAACTCATGCAATCCTACTTCTCAACTCCTTGGAGTTCTCTAATTATACATATGTAATACTACCGGTTAACATAACAGGCATAAAGGCATCTCTCCTAAGCAGGCACACTAGCATGCAATTCTAAGCAAATCCATAGCCCTAAATTAGCATGCAGTTCTATCGGCTCATAATAACAACACAAAATCAAGTAAGAGTATTTTAGGAAATGACCGCTCAGGCTCTGGCTGATTGTAGACACTGCTTCATCTCATTTCCTCTTAAAATCGTTTCCTCATTTAGAAAATCTTTTTTTTTTGAAAAATTTCTCAAATCCTCAGTTTGAGTCCAGACATAACCGATGGTACATCTGAATCCCTCAAACCAAGGCTCTGATACCAACTTGTAACACTCTAAATTCTCAAATAAAATTTTCATTTTTAAATCTACACAAAACACAATTTAATATTTCTCAAACCCAATTGTAAATTGTTCCAAACACAAAACAATAAATTGTTTGACAATATCCCAGAATCCTTAAAAACTCAATCAACTAGCTGGTGTGTACAATCATGCTGACACATTCCCAGGATCCTGAGATGTACCTGAAACACATTTCACACAACACTGTAAGCATAAAGCTCGGTGAGTTCCCCAAAATACCACACACAATAATTAGCCACTCATGTCTCAGTAAAGACCCTCCGGTCTTACAGCTCGGGTTGGACCCTCCAATCCTGTATCTCAGTGAGGACCCTCCAGTCTCATAACTCGGTTTGGACCCTCCGGTCCTAACTCAATAAGGCACATATAATATAGCATAAATCATAAAGACAGAACGCATAATATCACATAACTCAGTATAAGCACATAAGACCCTCCGGTCAATAACTCAGATAGGACCCTCTAAGTATAGTGAGAAGACTCACCTCGTAAGTAAAGCAAGTATGTCTCGTACTCAACGGTTGGTCTAGACTCCACCTACATATTTCATAATCATCTCTAATTAACAATTTATAATAACAACTCCAAAGATTTTAAGCTAACTCCCTTACTAATTCTCGGAAATGGGTGAAAGACCATTTTACCCCTCCATGGTCTCCAAAGTCCACAACTTAACCAAACCCTAAAAGTTAACGGAAGTCAACACTTAAGTCAACAGTCCATGTTGACCCAATTCGTCGAGTGTATCTATACGACTCGTCGAGTTCCTTCTGTTCTCAGAAAAATCGGGAAATCTAACTCAACTCGCCGAGTTGTCAACTCGTCAAGTTTGTACAACGTTCAGAATATCGGGGAAAACCATAATGAACTCGTTGAGTTGGCTAACCAACTCGTCGAGTTTCTTCAGCCCAAATACTCATTCAGACGTTTTTAAGCGAGATTAAGGCCCCAAACTCTAGATCTAGCCTTCTAAGGCTGAAATACCACGTAAAGTTGTAAGCTTTACGTCCATGAATGGCATCAAGGGCTAAGTTTGCCAAAACAAAGCTCAATAAAGGGTTTAAGGCATGGAAGTTGGCCAAAGCTTTGATAAAGCTTGAGTCTTTAGGCCTAAGGGACCTAGTAGTGTCCAGATCTGAAGTCTCATCTTTAAAGCATGCTCAAACAACCAAATGACTCAAAAATAAGCTAGAAATGGCCATAAACTCTCTAATTGAGAGATCTAGCAAACAAGTGATCAAGGCAATGACTTTTTTTTACCTCTAAATGGTTGCTACAACTGAATGGATGTCGGATCCAAAGACTCGTTCTTGTTCCAAGTCCTTTACTCTTCAAGTTTCTTCAGAGAATACACCAAAACCCACACTCTTAACCTTACACACTCTCAAAATGGAAGATAGCTCGATTAGGATTTGTCTCACGGTGATAAGGTGATGAGGGAGGCGGGGTAAAGGTCTTAATATCCTTTAAAAATGGTGCAAAACTTGAAAATTAGGGGTTTTCACACTCAACTCCAACTCGTCCAGTTGGGTCCTCCAACTCGTCAAGTTGATCCTAAAATCCACGTGGCCATCTAAATCTCTACTCGACGAGTTGGGGTCCTCCAATTCGTCGAGTTGCCCTATCAATATGGACATAAAACAATTTAATTTATACTTGGGAATCGGGATGTTACAGTGGTTGTCTAGTGTTTTCTGACACGAGTGTGACGTCGGCCCTGTAGGTTCCGACCAAATAGTTGTGGTGTACCTGTGTTTTCCGGTAATATATGGGAGGGACGAGGGTGATAGTGAGGTGCTTAGTGGGTGAGGGATATGGAGGTTGGGGCCCACATATATTATTCAACAATTTTTAGTAAGTTAATAATAATAAAAGCATTTAAAATAAAAAGGGTATAAATGCCATGCCATTTCAGCCCATCAATCCATTTGGCATGCCACCTCAGCAGGTTACTTGTTGAAAAGGTAAAATAGGGCTAAATTGATTATAATAGTCGGTTTCTTATCATTTTTTTATTAATGAAGCTAGTTGTAAGACTCATGTATTATATTAGTTAATTTAAAAAAATTAAATATAAAAGTCTAAATATTTTAAAGCTGTAAATTTATAAGAAAATAAGAAAAATAATAAATTATTATAATAAAATTGTTATTTATCTTTTAAATTTAAACAAATAACTAAAAAAAAAATAAAAAAAATAAAAACTAATGAGCTTTAATTTAGAAAATTTGAAATTAAAAAGTAAGTTTATTAATGAAATTGATATCCCTTTATTAATATATTTATTATAATTATTACATTAAATTATTATGTGAAATTTAATAAAATAGAAAAACTCATAAAATGACATGTGAAAAAAAATTAATTTAAAATAATTATAAAATAACATTTGGCAAATTAAATTAGATTAGAAAAAAAAACGTTCATTTATTAGAGTAGATTTAATTTAATTTAAGACTAGATAATAAACTGGACCAAAATTTTAGTATTTTTCTATGGATTTTCCTTTAGTTATAATCTAATTTAAAAATAATATTATCTATTTCTAAATATATTAATTATCTTATTTAAGTATTAGATTTTATAAAGATACATACATATTGTAATTTAAAGTTTTAGAACTCATATATATAGCCGGCCTTTGTTCCTCTTCGTCATCATCGACGCAAGCTACAACATACCATCGTCGGCCTCTGTTCATCGATATCGTCACAAAGCCTAAAACGTTTTTGAGAAAACGAGGGTTTTGTTGGCCGTCATCATCGCTACTCCATCAGCTCCTCTTTCTTGATTAATTCCTACTGCTCGGTCTCTGTAAGTCTCTTTTCCTCTTTTCTGGTCCACTGGGTAGCATGTACGTAATATATGATAGACACCAAAAGGTTTCTTCTATGATCTACATGATTTATTAATGTAAGAATAAATACTATTCCTCTTTCTCTTTTCACTAACTATCTATCGTATACTCGATTTTAGGAACTATTATATTGCTTTCTTTCGCATGATTAATATTTAAATGCCTAGTAAATCACACAAATTAATTGTGTCCTCCATGTTATGTTCTGGGATGTTTAAGTGCAGACATTCCCGACTTTATATATATATATATATATATATATATATATATATATATATATATAACCAATTTTAGGAGGAAAAAAACCATAAATTAATCTAGTTGTTTTACTATGGAATGCTTGGTTACTCATGATTTTTCTGATGTGGTTTTATTTAGAAGTGAAGTTGAAATAAAATACTGAATAGCGATGCCTATATATGCACCACAGACCAAGGCTTTTTAGGAATTTGCACAATGACACCACACAGCTCTAAGCACCTTAAATTCTTTGATGCTCCTCTTCTCAGAACTTTAGTGTGTGTGTATATATAATAAGTAAATGGTTGTGTTACCTCTTGCAGTGCTTCTGAGGTTTAAAGCGGAAATACAAAAAAGAAAGTATCTTGAGCATCAGTTGATATGGAGAAGCTCCCGGGCGACGTTTTATCAAATATATTCATCCGCTTGTTAGCGAAACAGCTTGCTCAAATGAGACTCGTGTGTAAAACTTGGAATGCTCTCTTGTCTGAATCCTCCTTTATAAAATCTCACCTCCATCATTCAATCCATAACAACAAGAAGAACAAGGATGATGAGATTCTTTTGTTCTTTGAGAAGGCGATTATTGACTATTTTTCTAGTACATGTCCATTAACAGCACGCTCCTGTGGTTCTCCTCGTCTGGAAGTCAGTAATTTCATGAAACTTGAACTCCCAATTGATCCCCAACATGAAAAGAAAAAGCCTATGATCAATGTGTTTGGGTCTGTGAATGGGTTAATATGCTTTTCTTACTTAAAAAATCATGGTTATTTCATTCGCATTTGGAATCCTTCTCTCTCGGCATCGTTAACTCTCCCGCGTTCTTCTTTGTCGGACCAAACCCATCACCCGTATGTGTGGTTTGGTTTTGATCCGAAAACTGATGATTACAAAGTTGTTAAGGTGAGTTCATCTTTTTTCTTCCTAAAACCCGCCGACAGGGAAACACAACCACATCCACAAGTTGAAGTGTATAGCATGAGAAAGGGTTCCTGGGAGTCAGCATCCCAAAGGATTCCTTCCCACATCAAAATGTTTTTCTATCGAGACGATGTTTGTGTGGATGGGCGTATTCATTGGCTTTGTGTTACTGATTTGGAGGGGAACCCACGAACAATAGTGACATTTGATTTGGGTGCAATGACATTGGGTGATGAGATACCTCTTCCTGATTCTGTAATAGATTGCGGTAGGTGGTGCATGTCTGACTTGGGAGTTTTGGGTGGAAAGCTTTGTGTGATGTCACGTTGCGTTAAACATTATGAATGTAACGTGTGGGTGAGGGATGATCATACGGATTCATGGGTGAAACATCATTTGTTTTCCCAGTTTAATGCTCGTATAACTCCATATGGATTCACATCACACAACGAGTTTCTTTTTCAACTTGACCATTCTCCTCGTTTTGCTTTGTATGATCCGGTTGCAGCCAAGACTAAAACCTTCAAGATTAAGACAATGACACGACCGCTTGATAGACTTAAAATATTCAACTACGTCGATAGTCTTGCTTGGATACCACCTGCAGCCACTCAATTGTCTTCAGTTTCTTAGTTAGTTTCCATTATTAGTGCATTAGTTACTTCTGCGTTCTCTATTGACATTAATGTGGTTTAGTTTGTTTTTCTGTCGCTGCTATATTTATTTATATATGCAGAAAAGTTTTACCTTGTTTAACATTTTGACATATTGTTTTTTTTTTCCTAAACTAAGTTGGTGGCATTTATAGTTTCAATCTCTACTGCTCTTTCCCACAAGAATTATATAATAAGCGTCTAACCTTATTAATGTAAATTAGTTATGATGGCTATTCAAGGAATTAATTTGTTTCATTTTCTTCTATACCTATATGATAAAAAATTTAACTTACTGTTTTTAACAATACTAATGTATGACTACTGCAATCTCGGTTAAGTACCAATTTAGATAGATGATAAAAACCCTACTTTGTCAAAACACTAAAAGGTTTGTAGATTATATTATATTGTTTAACTCCTGAACCACAAAGGTTGAGATGGATCCATCTATTCATTATAGAAAAGGCAGCCAAAAAAGGACTCTTGTAATTGTCAAAACATGAAGTCAAAATTATGTACAAACTACTGATAACAGCTAAAAATGGGTCCTAATTCTTGCTTTTAGAGGGCACAAACTAGAAGTATGTTACCAAAATCCAAATGATACAAGCAACACTTCCTTGTTCACGTGTAGCAAGTATTCAATTACATTATGCAAACAGCTAGCTAGCTGCACAAAACAAAATCTCACACGGAACAGTATGAGAGAAAGAATATATATATATATATATATATATATATATATATATATATATATATATATATCACCAGTAGAAAACATGGGGTTTTCCTACGAAAAAATAGCTACGGAAATTTTCCGTAGCTAATTAGCTATGGATTTTTCTTATTTTTGATTTTTCGGGCACCAAACGTCGTTTTTTTCGCTCCATTTTTTTCACACCTCTATTATACATGATTATCTATATTTTCACCAATTTATAGATATTAATATCATTTATAAAGGCGTGTATACATACGAGATCCATTGCGCGTTTAGTGGTTTAACACTATAATGCTTACGAATACGTTCACATACATCTCACAAACTCATATACATCATCATCATCATCATCAACATCAACATCATCATCATTATCATCATCATCACTATCATCATCATCATCACCACCACCATCATCACCACCATCACCACCACCACCACCACCACCACCATCATCATCATCATCACCATCACCACTACAATCATCATCATAATGATCATCATGATGATGATGATGATCATCACCACAACCACCACCACCATCATCACCGTCATTATCACCGTTATCACCATCACCATCACCATCATCACCATCACCATCACCATCACACCATCACCATCATCATCACCATCACACCATCATCATCATCATTACCATCACACCATCACCATCACCATCATCATCACCATCACACAATCACCGTCACCGTCACCATCACCAGCACCATCATCATCATCACCACCACCACCATCACCACCACCATCACCATCATCATCACCATCACCATCATCATCATCATCATCACCATCACCATCACCATCACCAACATCATTATCACCATCGTCATCGCCATAATAAAAATAGAAATAATAATAATAATAATAATAATAATAATAATAATAATAGTAATAATAATGATAATAATAAATAATAATAATAATAATAATAATAATAATAATAATAATAATGATGATAGAAATAATAATAATAATAATAATAATAATAATAGAAATAATAATCATAATAATAATAGGAATAATAATAATAATAATAATAATAAGGAAGTATATAAAGGTAATAAGAGACCATCTTCTGTTGGATGTGGCATCCCCGGCCCGATGGTTTGTTATCGGGGTGAACATAATGCGGTTTGGTGCGGTTTTAAGGCCAAACCGAACCGCAAACCGCATGGTGCGGTTTTTGCATTCTTAAAACCGTTGGGTGCGGTTTTTCAATGGTATGGTTTTTCGGTTTTTAAATGCGGTTTCGGTTTGTATCGGTGCGGTTTCCGTTTTAAACCGTTTTTAGAATTTGATGTAGTTTTTTATGTTTTTGGTGCGGTTTTTTGAAATTGTAAGAATTGAAAAGCATGTCATGTAAACTTGTATTGTGCTGCTTTTTATAAACCATTCATTTTCAGCTTAAAACAAAAATACATAATCAAAAATTATAAGTCGCTTAAAATACAACATGTGATTACTCTCACAAACTAATTAATAATTGAAAGTTTGTTGATTTTAACTTAATTTGTTACAAGCTTATTTAATGTAATCGATTAGTACGTTTGGCTAACAATATAACATTTCTTTTGCACCCCATATAGTCTTATACAAACACAAAATAAACATATAATAAATATATTATCGTTTATAAGTATTTTAAATAGCATGTATATAATATACATTAACTGATTTATTACTATACACGCTTGCGGTGCGGTTTGGTTTTGGTGGACCGGTTTTTTGGATAGAAACCGCACCGCACCATTGACCTTTGGTTTTTGCTAAAATTAAATCCGCACCATTGGTTTTTGCATCGGTTTCGGTTTTTCGGTTGCGGTTTATTGCGGTTTTGTCGGTTTTTTTTAGTCGGTTCGGTTTTTGCTCACCCCTAATTTGTTATTCTTAAGATACCCATGAATCCCGAGTTCGAAACCTATCCCATTTTTTTTGCTAGCAACTCGGTACCAAAACCCCTTCATATTTGCAGCAACGGACAGAAGAAAGAAAAAGCCAAACGCAGTTGACGACCACAGCTGTGCTCCTCTCTCGCTCGTGTCCACTCCGACATCGTTCCTTTCGCCGCCCGTCTACCCTCCTCATCTCTCGGCCTCCTTGCTCGATTTCTTCCCCACATAAGAGAGAAAAAGCTAAACGCAGTAGACGAACACCACTGTGCTCCCCTGTCGTTCGTGTCCACTTCGTTGCCTTTCCTTTCGCTGCCTGTCGCCGCTTATCGCCGCCCGTCGCTGTTCCCGTCACCTGTTGCCTTTCCTTTCGCTACCCTCCTCATCTCTCGGCCTCCTTGCTCGATTTCTTCCCCAAAAAGGTAAAACCCTAATTTAGATGTTCAATTAAGTTCAAATATGTTGTTCTTGCAATTCTTGATGTGTGAAATGGAATCAGTATCTTTGCTATCTTTCATATTAATTTGATTTTTGTATGTTGTGTGAAACTGAATTTGGATTGTTTGGGAACTATACATTAATTCGATTTTTTTGTTTGTATTCTTCCTGTTCTCGCTATGTTCAGTATTGGTGTTGTTAGCTTTACCTAGTAATTTTACCGATTTTCTCTGATGCTAAGGTGAATCAAGTAATATTCAGTGAATCTGGAACTTTTCTGAATCCTCCTAACATTGTTTTGTGATTTATATATTCATTTTTTAACATAACAAGTGATTGAATTTGTTTCTCTTTATAAAAATGTAGCGTTTAGATGTAATCACTATGAGACGATTATACCCCTCATTTGAGAAGTTCACTCCATTGGTGATTTCACTCCCAAAAGTTCATGGCTTAATTTGATTGGGGATTGTCTACTGTATTCACAGATTAAAGGTTTGCTGGCAGCTTCAGTTTTTCTAGATATGACCTTTTTACCCTTGGGTCTACTTACTACTTATTGAGATCAAACTTGGGTGGCAGTTATTTGAAGCACTCTTTGTAGTTCATAGAAATTCAGCAATCTTTGTAGTTCATAGAAATTCTGTTTCAACAAAGTGTTCAAGACTGATATTTGAATCATCTAGGTAATCCTTTTTCATTAGATATGTGTAACAGGGCATATAAATTAAATTGGCTCTGACATGTATGATATATGTAATCGTCTTGCTCGAATGAAGATGATGATGAATGGAAATACATAGAAGAAGGGCCTCCTGAAATCATATGGAAAGGAAACGAAATAATAGTGAATAAGAACAAAGTCAAGGTGAAAAAGAAAGAGGCTAATCAATCTACCCAAAAAGAGGTACACAAGTTAATAACCTTTTATGTGTTTCTCACAGCACACAATCACAACTTCTTTAAGTCATATCTCATTTCATTTTGCAGGATCCCGATAGACCTACATCAAATCCACTTCCTCCACAATCTGAAGCTTATGCTGCTTTTAAGAATGCACCCATCGCTTCGACAGAGTTGTTGGACATTGTTTCACAACAAGTCCCAAACTTTGGAACAGAAAAGGTCAGTCTTTGGTTACCTCTTTTTGTTAGCTTGTTTTATAGTGTATTAAACTAATTTTGGTTTGTTAATACTTAATATTGCAGGATAAAGCTCATTGCCCTTTTTATATTAAAACTGGAGCATGTAGATTTGGTATGCGTTGCAACAGGTTCATTAGTACCCTGATAAATCTACCACATTGCTTATCAAGAACATGTACAATGGACCTGGCCATGCTTAGGAACAAGATGAGGGACTTGAGGTCTGTTGTTGGGTTCAGCCTGTGATTATGTGGTGTAGAAATCCTCTAAAAAAGTATGGCTTAATTTTATCTGCTCTTCTTGTTGTTCTTGACTCTATGTATTGTATGTTTTGTTAATTAGTACTTACTTTTGTATGATATTTTGGACAATAGAATGAAATGTGTCAAACTTGGTATTATGGACGTTTTTTGGTGTATTTTATATGGTATTTTGGACAAATGTGAATTGAATGTGGTTTTTGACAAAAAATTGACAATTTTTAAATTTTAATTTTTTTTTTAAATAAAACAAAGCTAGCTACGGAATAGCTATGGATTTCCGTAGCTATTCCGTAGCTATCCATTTTCATAGCTATTCGGTAGCAAATCCGTAGCTATTTATTTCCGTAGCTATTCCATAGCTATTGTAGCTACGGAAAATTCCGTAGCGATTCCGTAGCTAATCTGTAGCTATAATTTTCCCACGGGCCATTATGCTACAGATATTTTTCCGTAGCAATTCCGTAGCTATCTGCTTATAGCTACAGAATAGCTACGGATTGTGC